CACACCAATATTCAACCTTACCAAATATTTAGTTCAGTTTTGATGCTTTTTACTGACTAGAGGAGTCTCTCATGGGGTAATCTTCTTATTTGTGGTGCAAGTGCTTTCTTCTCTTAAAACAATTTTAGTTGTGGTGCATGTGCTTTCTTCTCTTAAAACAATTTTAGTTTGATATATAACCAAAAAAAAAAAAAAAGGCAAACCAATCCATTTCCACCCTAAAAGGATATAATTACTTGACATGTTAGTTAGAACTATTGAGCTTTTACTACCGTATAAAATTGATTATGACATGCAACAACTAGCAAGAACCCTTTGAGATAGCTGGTAGAAACGTGTACCTTTCATGATTTGGCTACCTCTAATGCAAATCTCTCCGGCTTGATTTCGTGGCAGGGATCTACCGGTATCGGGGTCAACAATCTTCATCTCGGCGTTTCTAACAACAGTCCCACAGGCACCTGATTTAATTTCAAAGGGTTCCTTTGCAAATGCCAAGCACATCGATAGCACGGGTCCTGCCTCTGTCATTCCGTATCCCTTCACAAATAAACAAGGAGCAAATTAATTCCTTGGATTTTTAACATTACTAATTTGCAAGGATTCAAGAGATTTTTTTTTTTTTTGGTATAGAACAAGAAAGACTAAAAAATAATAATTAAAGAGTAGATGATCAACTCTATACCTGTCCAAGTTTAGCATTGGGCAGCTTAGCCCTTACTGTATCCTCAAGCTCCTTCCCCATTGGCGCGGCGCCAGACATTACGGTCCGAATGGAAGAAAGATCATACTTGTCAACGACTTGACACTTTGCAACTGCGAGGACGACAGGGGGGACAAATGGCGCAATTGTCACCTTATATTTTTGTACGAGCTCCATTAACGTAACAATCTCGAATTTTTGCATGAGCAAAATTGCAGAACCAACTCTTAGTCCACAAAGTAACACGGAATTGAGCGAGTAGATGTGGAACAAGGGCAACACACAGAGAATCACATCCTTCTCGTGAAAATAGAGGTTAGGATTCTCTCCATCAACTTGTTGTGCCACACTAGTAACGAGGCCTTTATGAGTCAACATGACACCTTTAGGGAGACCTGTTGTCCCTGACGAATAAGGGAGTGCCACCACATCATCAGGATTAATCTCGACAGCAGGAATGTCATCCTCATCAGAATTTGTCAACTCTGAAAAATGCAAGTAGTTTTCTGGTGGAGAGTCAACGGTCACTATTTTGACATGAACATTTTCCTTGACGAATTGTTGCACTTTCTCGGCGTAAACTGCCTGTGTTATTATCAGCTTTGCCTTTGATGCTGTTGCTTGCTTTGCGACCTCAGCGGGAGTGTAGAAGGGGTTTGCGGTTGTGCTAATAGCACCAATAATTGATGCTCCGAGAAACGCAAACACAAATTCTGGCGAGTTTTGGAGCAACAGCAAAATAACATCGCCTTGTTTGATGCCTAACTTGTTGAGGCCAGAAGCGACTTTGCGTGATGTGAGCTCAACATCCGCGTAGGTGTGGATTTCACCGGTAGGGCCATTGATCAGACAGGGATTGTCTTTGAATAGGGAAAGGTTTTCAAAGCAATAAGTGTGTAAAGGGAGGTGGTTTGGGATGTGGATATCGGGGAGTTTGGACCTGAAAATGAATTCTTGTGCTTGATCATTTTCCGCCTCCATTGTTTGTCAAGAACAGAGAATGAAAGAGAGAATTGTTTTTGGGAAGCGAAGGAGAAGGTAGGTGTATGGTTACTTGCTTCCCTGGCTTGGACCTGGTCTGATTTGTGGTTGAGGTAATATACAAGTAGGTGATGGCAGAGGGGAGCCGGTGAAGAGGAGTTCCTCGGGGATAAGGAAACGTTAATTACTACCAAATCAAAATCTTTCACTTTCCTTAATATTACTATTAATATTTTGTTTTTTAAAATATTTTTTATATTAAAATATATTAAAATAATTTTTTATTTTTTAAAAATTATTTTTAAATCAACTTATCAAAACTATTTAACACACAAAAAGGTTTTTAGCAAAACCAAATTAAATTTTAAAAAAAATATAATTTACATCACGTTCTAAACAATTATATTTATATTTAAAAATATAATTATAATTGTTTTTCAAAGT